TCCATCCATCCATCCATCCATCCATCCATCCATCCATCATCCATCCATCATCCATCCATCCATCCATCCATCCATCCATCCATCCATCCATCCATCCATCTGCAAATACTTACTCTGTGTCAGTCCTGGGCCCAGCTTCCCCAACTCGCCATTCATTTCTGTAATCTGGCATTTTGCTGCCTCTAATCTGCCGCATGCTGGAAAGTTAGATTTCTGAATTCATTGATAACTTGGTATTCATTGATAATGTGGAATGATTAAATAATGCCCGTATGACAGAATAGCGAGTAGTTAATTGTAATGACACTGTAATTTATTATTTGATGAAAATATAGAATAAAGAAGATGGTAGACTCTAATTTCAAAGGTGTACATATATGAACACCAGAACTGGAAGGGAATGTATGAAAATGAAGTTAGTTGCACTTAGGGGATGGTAGGTGAGTCTTTTCTTTTCGGATTTGCTCTCATGCTTTTAGGCAGGCATTCGCTCGGCTAATGCTTGCTGACGCCTGCTGGTGTCAGGCGGGCGGGGATTTATGGTCCTTGCTCTCTAGAAGCTCCGGCCGGGAGGAGACAGAGATGCACACAGTTAAGTTGCCCGGGAGGAGGCTGGGTTCAGGCGAAGGAGACCTTGAAGTTTTAGTATCCGCTGAACTCTGCAGCTGGCGTCTCTGCGAAACAGCCACAGGGAAGCTATTTTGGTCCCAGTTACGTGAATAGAAGCCCAGCAGGGTCTTGGCACGAACACACCTAATATCTACTGTTTCAGCTATTTCCAAGTTACTCCAAAGATCCACAACACAGGGTTATTTATACGTTTGTTGGGGACGGAATCCACAGTCCCTGTGGATTGACGAGCGTCCTGGCTGTGTCCCCACCGCTGCATCTCTGCTGGGCCTGTGGCTCTCCACTCCTCACTGAGTTCGCAGTAATTTTTGTTGGGAAAATGGTCCCCAGGTGAAAGTGAACTACTAGTATTACTGAGTTAGCCTTAAGAACCCAGCCGTTGGATAAACGAAAGCTTGAAATATTGAATTCAAGTGTGGCTCAGAGTCTGCTCCATGCAGAAACAAGGAAAGCACGAGTCGGTCGAGCCCGAATTTAGAGTTTTGAATAGCTTTGACTATTGGTAGATTTGGCTTTGGTAGATTTTATTATTCTTTATTATTACTTTTATATTAAGAGTCAGAAAGGGACACTTACATTTGACGGGCATCTTTGCTGCCATTTATGGGGGGAATATGCAGGGATTGGGATGATCCTACGACATGTCAAAGGCCTCCATGTTCACAGCAGCCTCAGATTTAGTCTTTTTGGCATTTTCTGTAAATGAGCCACAGGATTGAAAGAAACAGCCACTCATAATAAACTTGAAACTCATGGCTCATTACCAGACCACACTCCCACAGCATACTACAAAAAATACTTTAAAATAAATTCTGTATTTATCTTATGAATAACATAATTACATTTCTTTGCACTTGTTAAGTTAAACAGATTAATCTGGTAAATGTAAAAACCTTAAATATACCACAATTTTTGTACTCCTGTTATTTAAAAAAAGTCTTTCTATTTTTCTTTTAACACACTGGAGCTTCAGAACATCAGTGTCTGAGTTTCCTCTACCTCTGAGAAGCCCTGGTTCTGATCCGTGGAAAGAGGAAAGTGTCTTTTGTCCCATTAGCCAGGATGGATGCTGTCAGCAAATCAGGACAGAAAAAAATTAAATACATGTCGAGGTTGAACCGGCTTTCTTTTGCAAGCTGCATTATTCCCTCGGCGCCCATTTCAGGTTATATGTGCTTGTCTTTTCCCCTCTCCAGATTGCAGGCTCTTTAGTGAATCATAAAGTGAGCCCCAGAGATGTAAAGCAAGCCGCTCAAGGTCGCCCGGGCAGTGAGCAGCTGCGCCGGGGCCGGAGTCCAAGTCCTGTTCAGCCTGCCTTTTAAGACACGCAGGCATCAGATGTGCTATTTTGGGGAATTCCTGCTCAAGTCGCTGTTGCTTTCATCAGCCCGCACATATCTCATGGGGAGCCACTTCCTCTGCATGGGCCAGAAACAGGTGGAAGAGGCAGTGCCTGTCTACTGGTTACTTAATACACGCTGGTTCTCATCAACCTCAGACAGCCTCATATTTTCAAAATAGTGCTAATATCAATGAACATCAGGCATGAAGCTCTGATTTTTTCCTATTTGCTGGATCAAAGAACTCTGGCTCCTTTGTGTCCCCAAGTGCATGTCTTGTTCATCTCCTCGGCTCATTGGGTTCAGTGAGAAGATTTGAGCTTGTCCACCAACTTGGAAGAATATTAAGAGGCTGGCTGTATACAGTGCTGGGGCAGGGGGTGGGGCGCAGGCCTGGCCTTACATTGCTGGTGTGGGTAAGTCCACGCGCCCTGTTCTAGAGGGCAGCTTTGACTTTTTTTACATGCATTTCCTCTGCAACAAGAACCTGCTTCTAGGCATCTTGTTCTAGAGAAATGCTCACTTCACAAAGGCATGTTCCGGAGTGTTGACTGCTGTTAGGAACGACCGGAATGTCTGGCAATAGGGAAATGGCTCCGTAGGCTACAAGGCATCCATTCTGTGGGCTGCTGTGAAGCAGTTTGACAAAATGAGATGGATTCGTATACACTGACCTGGGAAGATCTCCAAGACATGCTGCGTAGTGACAAGAGGCAAGCTGCTCAGTAATGATGTCTAGCGGGTGGATATAATTTGTGATAAAATTGTGTAAATATGGGGAAGGGCTGGAAGGCTACACACTGAAGCATGGTGACCATGTGCCCTTCTGTGGTTGGCAGGGACAGTGGGTGTAGACTTTTTTGTAATGTGGATACATGGTGGTTTGTGTAAGCACGTTCCACACTGATGAGGAGCCTTCCCATTGCAAACAACCCTGCGATCAGTACCATTGCACAGGTGTCTTTATGCACTTGTGTAGGTAGGCCTGTGAAAAACTCCCAGAAACAGAATTACTGGGTCGAAAGGCAACTGCACTGGTAATTTGACAGATACCACAGAATTCCTCTTATCAATCTTACTCCATTTTGCACTCCATCAGTGACTTTAAAAAAAAATCAAGGTAAAATTCATGTAATACAAAATTAACCATTTTAATATGTACGATTCAGTGACATTTAGTACCTTTGCGATGCTGCGTGAGGTAGAGACTTTGGTCTACAATGTGTGGAAGAGGTTTACAATGCATTCGTGTGCTCCTTGTTTGGTTAAAAATGAAAAGAAAAATTAAAAAGTGTGGGCTTCAGAGTCTGGGCCCTTCACTAGTTGTGTGACCAAGTGAGGCTCTGCTCCCACATCTCTGAGATGGAGACAAAAACCTACACGCTGGGGCTCATGAGGGGATTCGATGTGCTGCTATGGGAAGAGCAGAGGATTTCACCACGGTGGTAGATGCTGGTTCCTTTCTCCCCCGTGCACCCTGGAGGCAATTCATTAATAGGCTCTGGCCTCAAGAGCACGAGTTCAGATCCCACCTCCCCCCTTTCTCTGTGTAATCTTACACAGGGCCCCCCACCTTTTTAAGCCTCAGTTTCAACATGTAAAATAGGGATAGAGGGTGTGGTGAGGACCAAGGGAGGTAATGGAGGACTTGACACCGTGCCGATGACATAGTACATGGTTGTGAAATTAGGACTTCTGCCAGCCCTGGTGTATGTAGTGCCCTGCACTCTAGGTGCCCAGTGATGAAGGACTCCATGAAGCTGTAATGCCTACTTGTTTCCGCTCTCTGACCCAGGGCCATTGGTGCCAACCCCCTGTATTGTGACTGCCATCTCCGCTGGCTGTCCAGCTGGGTGAAGACAGGCTACAAGGAACCGGGCATTGCCCGCTGCGCTGGGCCCCCAGACATGGAGGGCAAGCTGCTCCTCACCACGCCCGCCAAGAAGTTTGAATGCCAAGGTGAGCCCAGGAGCTCGGGAAACGGGGGGAGGGTACCGGGTTCATCCCCACCTCCCACTGCTGGCAGCCCACAGGACCTGCTCTGCCCTGGTGGGGCCTTCCGGATGTGCCTGTGGTGGCCGGTTGGATGGAGGGGTCAGGTGGCAGGAATGAGGCACCTGCAGCTTGTTAGCATGGCTGCCTTCTAGTTTTGACATAACAATGAGTGAAAAAAGCCAGTCAGAAATCTCAGGCTGTTAGGGCTTTAATCCCTCCCTGGGGTTATGTAAGGAAAGTAAAAATAGCAACAGCATTTCTGGAAACACCGAGCCTCTCAGCACAGTGAGCACTCAGGCTCCCCTTTGGTAGGAATTGCGCTCAGCAATTAGCTTAAATCCCTGAGCCGCTGGACCCAGCTGCCACTCTCCTGACATTTGTAGAAAGACAGGGATGGGAGGCACCTCGGGCTTTGCATCCGAAGGCGGCTCACCCTGGGCATCTGTAAAAGCTCCTTCAGGGATTGAGGGACTGACTGACAGCCCAAGCCCAGGAGCCCTGCTGAGCACAGGGAGGTGCTGAGCGGCTGCCCCGGTCCCAGCTTTGCACACTGGGGTACAGCGTGGGGAACACGCCGGAGGCCGTGGGGCGCGGACCCTGCCCTCTGCAAACTCACAGACCACCACTGGAAGTGAAACTGACAGCCATGGATTAGTGAGGAGGCCCTGGGCCACCTCGCCGTGCAGGATGCTGTCCCAGGGGTAACAGCTCCGAGGGGCCCGATATGTGGCTTAGCTGTTGGCTGTTGGGAGCAAGCTAACTTATGTTGAAACATTTGTTCGGGGTTTGTTTAACTGAGTGGTGTTGGTATTGGTGAGAAGTGGTTTTTTAAAACGTTTTTTTTAAATATAACATGCATAACAGAACAGTACACACACAGATCATAAGTGAATGGCTCGCTGAATTTTCACAAACTGAGTGCACACGGGTAACCAGCACCCGGGTCAAGGAGCAGAATCCACCTGTGCCGGAGAGGTCCCCGCACGCTTCCTTCCAGCTGTTACTGACCGGTGCTTCTGTTCATGCTTATGTCTTTGAGCAGAAGTGATATTTCTCCACTTCCAGGGGTCTTAAGTGGAAAACTGAGTTAGCTGGCTCCTCTTCCTGATTATTTTTCTGAGGTTCCAATGTCCCCATAGGAGGTGCTCCTCCCCCACCTCCAAGTTCAGGGAAGGGCAACCAGTGAGTCCTGGAGGGGCTGGAGAAGGTCATGCTCGCAACTGGAGAGGTGACGGGAAGAGTCCCTCCCCTTTGGCCTTGGAGAGAAACAACTTCAAGGCACATGAACCTTTTCATTCTAAGCGTCACCTCCTCATGGAGCTGCGTCTCCTCCCTGCGGAGGTGGCCACCCTTGTTATTCTGATTAGAGGGTGACAGGGCTGGGGATAGTTGCCTCAGAAGGATGTGAGAGCACCCAGGAAAGGTCACCCACTTCAGCTGTAGTGACTGTGGTGCTTGCACACTGATGGCCCTGCCTTGCCCCCCACTCAAGGGCTCCTGAGGTCGCCAGCACCAGACCATTAAGGACTTTTTGCAGATTAGCTCATTTAGTCCTTATGACCCTGGGGCAAGGGGCTGTTACCACATTTTACAGAGGAGGGTGGGAATGCTAGAGAGGGGGACTGTGTGACAGGATGAATGTGACTCAGAGGAAATAGCAAAAAGTTCCTTGGGGACAGCGCTTCCTACCACCCTTTTCTGAAGAGCTGGGATATGGGGTGGTGCCTAGCCTCCTCCTCCCTGTACTAACCTCTGCCCCCTTGCCTCAGGTCCCCCCACTCTGGCTGTGCAGGCCAAGTGTGACCCCTGCTTGTCCAGCCCGTGCCAGAACCAGGGCAGCTGCCACAACGACCCCCTTGGAGCGTACAGGTGTGCCTGCCGCAGCGGCTATAAGGTGCGTGGAGGCTGAGCCGGGGAGGGGGCTGCTCCGTGTGCCCCCGGGCGGGACTGGGCTTGTCTTGTTCCCCACTCTGCCCCCAGTGCCCTGAGAGCGGTTCCTGGCCCAGAACCGGGGCTTGAGTGGAAAATGAACAAGTGACACCTGGGACAGGCAGGCTGAGCTGCTGAGGGACTGGCTGTCCATTGGCTCACACTGGCCTCTGGGTCTCCCTGGGGTCCCCATCACTGACTTTCTCCCCAGGGCAGAGACTGTGAGGTGTCCCTGGACAGCTGTTCCAGTGGCCCCTGCGAAAACGGCGGGACCTGCCACACACAGGAGGGCGAGGATTCCGGCTTCATGTGAGTTGCTTGGAGGGGCCAGAACCTGGTAGGCGGGGTGCTGATTGGGTCCAGCACCCAAGCTTCGGTGCCCTCCACCTCCAAATGGAGTGGCGAGCCCCCTGTGCTCTGGGGGAGATAGAGGGTGGGCGCAGAGGGAGCAAGCGCTCATTAGAAACTCCTCCACACCCACCCCCGAGACAGGAGGCTGGCCCAGAGGTGGGAGCAAGTTCTGGTCGTGCCCCCCTGGACCCTCCCCCCACTGTCTCAGGGGTCCCACATGTCCCACACAGGCAGCCAGTTTCCCACAGCTCAGTGAAGGGCCAACCCTCACCAGTCCTTTCTCAAGCTCTCCCAGTGCTGACATCACCATGCAAGCCCCCCCCCCACTGACCCTGCTTCCCCCGGGCCCCTCAATGAATACCCCAATATCCAGAGCTCTCCTGGACCCAGAGCTTTTCTGAAGCATACTTGGTATTTAGTTGCTGAAAACAAACCGCCAGCCGAACAAATTGGCTCTGCATCTAGTGGCAGAAATGGCCAAGCCTGTCTCTGCAAACCCAAATTACCAGGTATCAAAAGGAAAACACTAAATGGCCTCTCGGCCCATTGTCGCCTTGGCAACGGTGCCGTACAATAAGCTCATCCTTCTTTGGGCCCCTCCTCAGTCCCTGGGCTCCTGGGAGGGGATGTCTCTGGAGAGTGGAGGGGCTGAAAGTACCCCCCAGAAACTCCCACTGCTGGGCAGAGGGGGCTGCAGTGGGTAGGCCCCCAGCAGCCTTACAGATTGGGGGCCATTGGGTGGGCCGTCCAGGTAGAAAGGGGGTGCCTCTCTGAGTTACCCCTCAACCCTGAGGCTTACAAGGGCCTTTTCAGAATTGCAAGGCTGATCCCTCAGCCCCTCTGTTGTTCCCCCCACCCTACCCCCATCTTTGTGGGTGAAAAATTAAACTCCAGGACACGCCCCACAACAGTGGGCTTTAAACCTTTTTGCTCACATACCCCCCAAACAGAATTTTAAAACTACATACATCCTCACACATTCTCAGATTGACAGCTAAAATTTCTCATTGTACATTTAATGTTTTGTCGCAAAGGAGGTCATTTTCAGGATATTGTAAATATTAACATTTAAAAATAAAACTATCCCTCTTTTATTGTTCCCCAATGGAATCTGAATAGCATGGCAATTCGATACCATTAAAAATTACACAAATAGGCTACTCTTTTATAGATTAAACAGTTTCCTCATTCCTTTTCCTTCTTGAACCAGTATTTACATTTTAGTCCCCATGCCCCCTCTCATTTTCTTTCCAATGTAATCCATTTTTATGCTAGAGAGACTTTACTTGAGCACCTGCCATATTTCTCCACCAACAACATGGGTATATAAGTGTAAATTTAAGGTTTTCTTTATTTCTTGTGACCATAGCCTCTGATTAAAAGTTTAGTTATCATTATAATTATCAATAATATACAACTGGTCAATCAACATTACTGTATTACAAAGTTTGATTGATACCACAAATAACAGTAGAATTTTATTAGACACATCTCTTAATGAGTAGATATATATATATCTATCTATCTGTAAATGCTGAGAAAGTTTGTTCACATAAATAAACAGAGGAGATTAGGAGTTTTATTATAGCCACGCCACCCAAGTCTTTGAAATCCTTCCGCGTCTGTGTGCCAAAAACCCCAGAGTGGTCTATCATCAGAAATTATTCGTAATGCTCTATCAGCTGACAATTCCATGAGGTCTCTCTTCAATTATTTTTAACACATGGAACTGGAAACCTCTCGACTTGCAGAAGCCATTTGTTCATTCATTTTCAAAACATCGATATTCCTAATTGTCCCTTTATTTGGAGCCCCAGGATTTTAGGCTCCAGTCAAGTCCCACCTTGGACTTAGGCTGGGAGAGGTGTGTGCTTTGGTGGGGCTCTGGGGCAGGTCAGTCCAGGGAAGAGTTCCTGCAGAACCTGAAGACCTGAAAATCAATTTCTCAGACCTCTCTGACCCACATACCCCTTGGAAAACCCCAGGCGCCCCAGGGGGAGGTGTACTGATCTCCAGTGCCCTCCACAACCTGCTCCAGCCCCATTCTCACGCGATTCCTGAGGTCTGTGCTCCTGAAGGCCTGAACTGTTTGGATGAGCAGGACCCCCTCCCAGAGGACTGGCTTCAGGGTCTTTCCCAGGCTTTTGCACATGCCTCTGCCCCCACTGTCTTCCCTCTCATTCCTGCACTCCCATCAGGGTCCTTGACTAACTCATCACCTCCTCCAGGAAGCCTGCTCTGACCACCCCCCAAGGAGGAACTACATGTCCTCTGCCCCTTTGCTCCCACTCCCTGGCCTCAGTGCTGCACTATCCTCATACTCACCACTTCTCCTCAGGTTGCCGGTCCCCTCATCACCTCCCCCGTAGACTGTGAGTCCCATGAGTGCAGGGCTGGTCTTGTTCACCTCTAACCCCTGGCTCTAGGAAGGGCCTGCCCCAGAATAGAGACCAAACCTCTGGGAGGATGATATTAACCAGTGGTCACCAGCTGCGGCTCTGGCCATGGGCCCACCTGCCTCTCCCTCCTCCCTGCCCCACAGGTGCTCCTGTCCTACTGGCTTTGAAGGACCAACCTGTGGGGTGAACACAGACGACTGTGTGGAGCACGCGTGTGCCAATGGAGGCATCTGTGTGGATGGCGTGGGCAACTACACTTGCCAGTGTCCCCTGCAGTACACGGGTATGTGGGGATCAAGTGTCCTGGGGAGGTGGGAGCTAGTATGCATGCCTGAACCCCATTCCCTTGGGCAGAAGGGTTGGGGCCCTGCCTCAGTGTCTGCAGGAGGTTTCCGCTGGGCTGGCTGCCTGGCAGAACATGGGGGGCTGGAGGGGCAGCTTCTCTCCTGCCTCTCCCTGGTTCTTTTCCCAGGAAGGGCCTGTGAGCAGCTGGTGGACTTCTGCTCCCTGGATTTGAACCCGTGTCAGCACGAAGCCCAGTGTGTAGGCACCCCGGATGGGCCCAGGTAGGTGTTGCCCATTCCCAGGGTGGGAAGGGCAGGGGCTGCCAAGTCACCTCCCTTCCATACCAATCCCCTCCCCATCCTATTTCCTCACCTGTCAAGTGGGTTTGGTCTCAGCCATGCAGGGTTCTTGTGAATCATTGTGGGGGGGTTAAGGGGGAGCTTTGCTGCCAGCATGACCTTGAATGGATGGCTTGACCACTCCTAGCCTCAGTTTTCTCATCTGTAAACAACACACCAGAAGCTTCCTTCTGGGGTGGTTGTAAGGATGGGCTGAGCAAATGCATGGAAAGCACTTAGCTTCATGTCTGATATCTGATCAATGCTCCATAAAGAGCTATTATCCTAGATCTACAATTTCTCATCTCCAGTTACAAAATCCGCAAAACTCTGAAAACCAAAAGTTAGTTTGATAGCAAAATCAGACCTGACCTGAACGTATTTGGTAATAAAAGCTCACCACATGGATATGGGGCTTCTTACAGTAATGAGCCATCCACGTAGAGTGAATGTGTATAGATTTTGCTGCAGAACTGTGAACGTGTGTGATTGAGGTGCTGCCCTAGACCCCGCTGGCATGTTACGTAGCATCAGAGAACATCATACCATTTTATACAGTAAGGATAAGTATGGTCTCGTGTGTGTGTATACTGGGTAGAAAGGTATTTCTTACAGCCGGAAAAACACTGGGAATGAGTTAAAAATCCAGGCAGGAGCACCCACCTGCCAGGCTGTGGAGTTTGCAGTCTTCAGTTTGGAAGGGTTTCCAGCAAAGGTTTGCTCAGTGACAGCAGGCATGTTCACCAGAGGCTTCCCGGAGGAGGTGAGATCTTGGCCTGAGGCAGGGAGAGAGAAAAGAGTATTCCAGAATCAACAGGAGTGAAGGCGGGAAGTGCCAGTGGGGTGGGGGTTGCTGCCAGTGGAGACAGGTCTGACCACAGGCTGGACCTGAGCTGGGAGGAGCAGGACAGCGAGTGTCATGCCCGCCTGTGACTGGAAGCGGGTGGAGGAGTGTGCCCTTTATTTGATAGGCAAATAATTGGCTGAAATGGGTTTTCGGGTGAGCAGTGAGGCACAGTGCAAGCAGGGAGCTGGAGGTTGGCCTGGAGTCACTGCTGGGGCCAGGAGGCTGGGCTGGTGGAGTGAGGAACCTGGGGAGGAGGGATGGGTGAGCCCCATGATTCAGGGCCATGTGCTGGGGAGCAGCTGGGCAGGTCTGGAAGGGGCTGAAGTTTGGCCCTGGATGTGCCAAACTGGTGGTGAGTCCGGGTCCTCCCTGACAAGATTCCCATCTCCTCCTGCTGTGGGGTGTCCACCCTCCCAACCCAGAGCCCCCCAAACCCACACAAGCTCTCTGTGAAAGGGTTCCAGGACAGGCTGGGGGCATCCTTATATCCAGGGCTCTGGTTGACCTCCTGGGGTGCCCCAAAGGCCCACAGGGCCTTGAGATTCTCTGTGACACAGACTCGGACCCACAGGCTCCTGGTTGACCGCCTACTCCCCTTGCTCACCTCCAGGTGTGAGTGTGCACCAGGTTATGCAGGTGACAACTGCAGTGAGAACCAGGATGACTGCAGAGATCACCGCTGCCAGAACGGGGCCCAGTGTGTAGACGAAGTAAACAGCTACTCCTGCCTCTGTGCTGAGGGCTACAGGTGAGAGGCCCTGGACACACCACCGGGGACCAACTCCTGGCCATCAGCCCCTGGCTGGCAGGAGCCCCCAGATATGGTTGGCGGGAAGAAGTAAGGATGCTAGCCTGGGTGTTGGGTCCTGGTGTTTTAACCATAGTTATGCCATCAGAGCTGTGTGGCCTTGGGAAAGTTACTTAACCACTCAGAGCATAAGCAGAGGGTCCCTAACCTCTTTGGTGGAGGGAGTGGGAGGTGGGTATAGATTAGTGGGCAGTGTCCCATCACTTACCTGCTCAGGGAACCTCTTAAGACACATCCTGCCTTAAAGGTTATTGACATTTGCATCTTGTCTCCTCTGGGAGGTCGGGAGGGGCGGGCACCTGCCCTCCTTCTGGCCACCCACGTCTCATGCTCTGCTTGAGTGTTTTTTGTTTTCATTTTATTGAGATTTAATTCACATACCATACAATTTACCTGNCCCTTTATTTGATAGGCAAATAATTGGCTGAAATGGGTTTTCGGGTGAGCAGTGAGGCACAGTGCAAGCAGGGAGCTGGAGGTTGGCCTGGAGTCACTGCTGGGGCCAGGAGGCTGGGCTGGTGGAGTGAGGAACCTGGGGAGGAGGGATGGGTGAGCCCCATGATTCAGGGCCATGTGCTGGGGAGCAGCTGGGCAGGTCTGGAAGGGGCTGAAGTTTGGCCCTGGATGTGCCAAACTGGTGGTGAGTCCGGGTCCTCCCTGACAAGATTCCCATCTCCTCCTGCTGTGGGGTGTCCACCCTCCCAACCCAGAGCCCCCCAAACCCACACAAGCTCTCTGTGAAAGGGTTCCAGGACAGGCTGGGGGCATCCTTATATCCAGGGCTCTGGTTGACCTCCTGGGGTGCCCCAAAGGCCCACAGGGCCTTGAGATTCTCTGTGACACAGACTCGGACCCACAGGCTCCTGGTTGACCGCCTACTCCCCTTGCTCACCTCCAGGTGTGAGTGTGCACCAGGTTATGCAGGTGACAACTGCAGTGAGAACCAGGATGACTGCAGAGATCACCGCTGCCAGAACGGGGCCCAGTGTGTAGACGAAGTAAACAGCTACTCCTGCCTCTGTGCTGAGGGCTACAGGTGAGAGGCCCTGGACACACCACCGGGGACCAACTCCTGGCCATCAGCCCCTGGCTGGCAGGAGCCCCCAGATATGGTTGGCGGGAAGAAGTAAGGATGCTAGCCTGGGTGTTGGGTCCTGGTGTTTTAACCATAGTTATGCCATCAGAGCTGTGTGGCCTTGGGAAAGTTACTTAACCACTCAGAGCATAAGCAGAGGGTCCCTAACCTCTTTGGTGGAGGGAGTGGGAGGTGGGTATAGATTAGTGGGCAGTGTCCCATCACTTACCTGCTCAGGGAACCTCTTAAGACACATCCTGCCTTAAAGGTTATTGACATTTGCATCTTGTCTCCTCTGGGAGGTCGGGAGGGGCGGGCACCTGCCCTCCTTCTGGCCACCCACGTCTCATGCTCTGCTTGAGTGTTTTTTGTTTTCATTTTATTGAGATTTAATTCACATACCATACAATTTACCTGGGTAAAATGTACAATTCAATGGCTTTTAGCATATTCCCAGAGTTGTGCATTCATTACCACAATTTCAGAACACTTCAATACTCCAGACAGAAATGCCACTCGTCTTATCTGTCACACCAAGCCCTCTCCATCCCAGCTCTAGGCAACCACAAATCTACTAATATCTCTGTGTATAGATTTGCTTATTCTGGATATTTCATATCAGCAGAAGCATACAATCTGTGGTCCTTTATAACTGGCTTTTTGAGGGTCCTCCATGTAGTAACATGTATCAGAACTTCATTCCTTTTCATGGCTGAATAATATTCCGCTGAATGGCTATACTGCATTGTTTACCCATTCATCTATTGATAGACATTTGGGTTGTTTCCACTTTTTAGCTATTGTGGATACTGATGCTACAGATTGTTGTAGCAGGGATCAGAACACCTGTTGGTAGTAATGTCCCCTCTTTTATTTCTTTGCTTTAGTGATTTGAGTCTTCCCTCCTTTGCTTGTGTTTTAAGTCTGTTTTTTTTTTCTGCAAAATGAGACATGAGCAGTGAGTGATTCTTTTAAAAAATATATTATCTTGATTTCAGAAAGAGGAAGGGACAGGGAGAGAGAGAGAGAGAAACATCAATGATGAGAGTCATTGATCGGCTGCCTCCTGCATGCCCCCTACTGGGGATCGAGCCCACAACCCTGGGCATGTGCCCCAACTGGGAATCAAACTGCAGTCTCCTGGATCCTAGGCTGATGCTTAACCGCTGAGCCATGCCTGCTGGGCAAAGTGAGTGATTCTTAAACTTTAATGTGCACACAAGTCACCTGGCATATTGTTAAAAAGCAGATTTGGTGGGTTTTCCATTTCCGACAAGTGTCCAGGTGACACCCATGCTGCTGGTCCAGGAACCACACTTGTTTCTCACCACCCTCTGGCTCTTAGTTCTCTCAGGGAAAGTGTTCTCCTTAAAGCATCTTCTGTCGCCTTAAGGATCCAGTTTCCCAAGATGTTTAGTGAGTTCCTCTCTAGGACTTGGGGGGAGGAAGATGCCCCCTTACCCTTTGGCCCTGCCCTATCTGACTTGTGTCCTTTCCCCCTCAGTGGGCAGCTCTGTGAGACCCCTCCCCACCCCAGGAGCCCCTGTGAGGGGACCGAGTGCCAGAACGGGGCCAACTGTGTGGACCAGGGCAGCCGGCCCGTGTGCCAGTGCCTCCCGGGCTTCGGCGGCCCCGAGTGTGAGAAGTTGCTTAGTGTCAACTTCGTGGATCGGGACACTTACCTGCAGTTCACTGACCTGCAGAACTGGCCGCGGGCCAACATCACGCTGCAGGTGCGTGCCCAGGGTACCGGTCACAGAGGGGAGTCAGAGATCAGGGGACCCTGACCTCAGGTCAAGGCATCAAGGCGCATTTCTGCCCTGGACAATGGGGAGGCCCCTGTGTTGGTCAAATGTCTTTGGATGTGGGTGTCAGCATCTCAGCTTGAACTAGTTTAAGCGCAATTGGAAAGGTTATTGGGTTACAAAACCAATCTCAGAGAAGAGCGGGGGGGGTGGTGGTGGTGGGGTGGAAGGTGGTCTCATGGGTGACTGGATCCAGAAAACCAGACTTACCAGGATCCTCTCCCACCATCTCTTGTCTCAACTACTCCTCAGCTTCAGCTTCCCATGCTGCCGACAGGCTTTTTTCATGTGGCTGGAGCACAACCAGGGTTAACCCTGGGCTTATATCTTTAACCAAAAGTCCTTGCAGTCCCTTATTTTGCCATTTTATGTATTGAATTCCACCTTAGAACATCATGTTGAGGAAAAAAAGCAAACCCCACTTCAGCATCGATGAATATGTAAATACAGAGATTTTGCTAAATATTTCTTAAGGAGGAACAGGGGAGTAGATTATGTTGCACATCATATGATAAAATATTTAAAACTCTTTAGTCATTTCTCTTCCCAAAATTCCATTCCCTATCCCAAATGCCACATAGTTCTCTCCTTTCTTCTGTCTCTTCTTTTTTCTCAGAACCTATCAGTCACTCAAACATGTTCACTCTTTATCACCTCTCCAAAATGCTGTCCACCTAACTTGGTCCACACAGCAAGGCCACAGCTAGCCTAACTGCTCCCCAAAAGAAAACTCACACAAACCCTACTCATCCATTGCTTCAGGCACATCCTTAGAGAGGCTCCGTTCACCCCACTGTCCCCATCGCCAGCTCTTCAGGGCCAGCCCTAGTTGAACAACAATCAGCAATCTCAGGGAAGACCTCTGCTTGGTCTGCCTTCAGTCACATGCCCATCCCTGGACCAGCGACTGAGTCCAAGGAGATGGGCTACTGTGATTGGCCCAGCCTGGGCCATGTGCCAACTCTGCAGCCCACGGGGGCAAAGTTTTTACCAGAAGAAAGGAGAGAAGAGGGACAGGCAGGAAAAAATGATCATGGCTCCAATAGCACCATAGAGAGATCCCTAAGGCACAACTCCAGCTGCTTGTGCAGCTCCAGCAACAGGGTCTACCTCCTGAGTGTTCCTTCCAGGTTTAGGTGGCTCTGGCTGTTAGCCTTCCTGAACTTGTCATCTCTGTAGGTCCCACCCTGGCCCCAAGGCCATTACTTGAGGTCCACAGAGTGGGCTGCCCCACAGCCAGTCTGACTTCCCTCTCTGAGCAGGTGGTCTGAAGGCTCCGCTCTTCCTGGCTCAGAGTTTTCGGGCCTTAGCTGGCCCATCTGCCCTCTGCTGCCTGGCCCTGGCCACACTGTCAGTGGATAAGATTTAAACTCAGGGCTGTCAGCCTCTGTCAGTGCCCCTTGGAGGACATGTCACCTGGGCAGGCAGAGGACAGTTCTGCACACAGTATCTCTCTTCCAATTGTGGGCCCCCATCTGCTCCACCTACCCGCCTGTGCTGCTGCTGTGTGGGATGGGGTTGGAGAGACAGAGCCATTGCCCATCAGGTCTCCACGGCAGAGGACAATGGGATCCTGCTGTACAACGGGGACAATGACCACATCGCAGTGGAGCTGTACCAGGGCCACGTGCGTGTCAGCTACGACCCTGGCAGCTACCCCAGCTCTGCCATCTACAGGTAGGGTCTCCTCATGCTCACCAGCCACTCTCAGGGGTTTCCTGGGCCAAAAACAGGTCATTATTGGGACCACTAGAACCTGGGCTGCCCAAGAAGAAAGGGCATTTGAACCATCAAGTACAGCCCAGCGTGGGCCCGAGGCTCTCTAGGGCCCGAGCAGTGGTCTCATCCTTCCCCATGCTACCACCACCTCACAGGGGGCTCCTGAGTGAGGAGGGGGAGACTGATTGGGTTGAAAAATCCCTGCTCTAGGCTTCTCAGCTTTCCCCAGGGGAGCAGGAGAGACTAGGCCATAGGCCACAGAGTCACCACAGTCTCCCCCTGAGAGATGTGGGAGCAGCTGCTGGACCAATGGCCTTTCTGGAGAAGTGTCCAGGTGGGGATGGGCCAACTGAAGCTCATCTTCTGGGGTGGGGGCACCCCATCTTCTTCCAGTGCTGAGACGATCAATGATGGGCAGTTCCACACTGTCGAGCTGGTCACCTTTGACCAGATGGTGAATCTCTCCATCGATGGCGGCAGTCCCATGACCATGGACAACTTCGGCAAACACTACACACTTAACAGTGAGGCCCCCCTCTATGTGGGAGGTAAGGACCTGCCCTGCCCCAGGCCTCTCCATCAAGTGATGGTGACAGCCTTTCCAAGTGGGGCCTCTGTTGCTCTCTGGCCAAGAGAGCTAGTGCCTAAGGCACTGGACTGTGGGACATTCCAGGTGGTGGGGGAGGGTCCTAGTGAATGACCATGCTGCTGGTGGACTGTTCTCCCTGCCAGGAGCCAGGCTGCTGTCCACCCAGCCCAGATTAACCAAGGAGGATAAGTGCCAGAGTTGGGACCAAGGCTTGGCCTGGGAGAGGTGGGGAGGGAGGGTGGTGGGGGTTTTCCCAGCTGTCTTCTGCACTGTGGGCATCTTTCCTCTTGGCTTTGGGCCAGAAGGGGCTTGTCAATTATTCAGGGTCCATTCCCAGTCTTGGGGACCTCAGAGGCCCAGAGCTGTCGCAGGAGGCCCAGGTACCAGGTCCCTGCATTAGCTGGGGATCGCCCAGCTGGCCTTATAGGCATTGAAGCTAAATGGCCCCTTCCACCACCTGTGGACATTTCCATGTCCAGGAGACCAGGTTCCTGGATGCAGTGGGGCCGTCTCAGTGCTGTGGAGGGCCTGGCCTAGACATTGGGCAGGTGGGAGGGATGGAAAACCTGAGCTTTAAGCCCAGTTCTGTTGTTAACTAGTCACCGAGCACGGAGTATCCAATGGGGTTTAGCAGCTCCTACCTCAGAGGATTGCTGTGAGCGGTGACCACAAATGCAGGTGACAAAATACCATATACCTGGGTTCTAGGCCCCAATCCTTTGCTGCTTCTGGGGTCTCTGGGAGGTAAAAACAGGTGTTCCAGAGGGAAGGAAGGATCCCTGGGCTAGGGCAGCCAGACTCAGACACCCAGGCCTCACTGGTCGGCTGGCTGCTGACCACCCCAGGCTCTTACAAGGAAAGCAGCTTTTCTCTTTCTTCTGGGGGAGGAGTCTGGACCCACCAAGGTGGCAGAGGGCCTTGGCCCAGAGTTGCAGACAGAGCAGAGGCCAAGGGCAAGAGGGAACACTATGGAGATGCCCAACAGACCTAAGGTAGGTTCCAGGCACTGTCCAAGCCTGACTCAGCTCAGCTCAGCCCCTCCCCACCACCCCAGGGATGCCGGTGGATGTGAACTCGGCGGCCTTCCGCCTGTGGCAGATACTCAATGGCAGCAGCTTCCACGGGTGCATCCGAAACCTGTACATCAACAACGAGCTGCAGGACTTCACCAAGACACGGATGAAGCCAGGCGTGGTGCCGGGCTGTGAGCCCTGCCGGAAGCTCTACTGCTTGCATGGCATCTGCCAGCCCAATGCCAGCCCAGGGCCTGTGTGCCATTGCGAGGCGGGCTGGGGCGGCCTGCACTGCGACCAGCCAGCTGACGGCCCCTGTCATGGCCACAAGTGAGCCTGCGCTTGGCTCAAGGAGCCCTCACCCCCTGCCCACCTGCAGGTTCCTTTCCCTTCCGTGCAAGCTCCCAGTCCCTGTGGTGAAGATAGTGCTTTTAAATCCCCAAATCGAAACATGTGGCCTAACACAAGGTTTTATTTTTTTCTGGTTTTCAATTTTTAGTAACAGGAAAGGTCCCCAGGGACAAACACAGACTCACATTTTGCTTCCTGTGTTTCAGTCTTGGAAACAGGCTAACATCCCATGACACCAAGGCTGGGGGTGTGGGGTACCCTTGGGTGGGCCTTGGATGAGCTCTGGCCTGTCCTCATAGTGTTTTTTCTCTGTCCCTTCCAGGTGTGTCCACGGGAAGTGCGTGCCCCTTGATGCTCTTTCCTACAGCTGCCAGTGCCAGGACGGGTACTCGGGGGCCCTGTGCAACCAGGATGGGGCACCCGCAGACCCATGTGGGGGCCTGCAGTGCCTGCATGGCCACTGCCAGGCCTTGGCCACCAAAGGGGCACACTGTGTGTGTGACCCTGGCTTTTCGGGCGAGCTTTGTGAGCAAGGTCAGGGGCCCCCCTCCTGATGTGCCCTCTCCAGGTTTCCTCTCCACAACTGGCTTTAGCAACTTGGTGTTTTTCTTTCCCCCAACCTCAGCAAGCTCTCTGTGCCCCAGGCCCCCTTCTGCACCTTAGGTTGCTATTGGGCTTTAGTGCCACCCACCCTCTGGGCTCTGAGTCCCACCCCCTGACAGGGCCTCATCTCTCCCTAGCCCAGCTTTTCCTGCAACCCCCTTATCCAGGATAAGTGCCCCTTCTGGCTGGGGTCTCTCCTTACAGAAGAGGTCATCGGGGTAACAGCTCCTGCCCAAACCTTCGCATCTTGGCCCCATCACCTTGGGACAGGGTAGCAGCAGCAAGTCTGAGGGTTGGGGACTCTTTCCCAAGCCCCTGACCAAGATGCTTCTGCTGGAATGGAGAGTGCTGTGGGGGGCAGGGGACTTCTCCAGAAATCCAGAACTCAGGGACCTTAGGGTCTCCTAGGCCACACCCTCCCAGCAAAAATTCCTTCTCCATCATTGCCTCCAGCCTCTGCTTGCACTCTTCTAGCAAGCGGAGCCCACCTGAGCCCGGCGTCCCAATCTGTGCTGCAGGCCCTGGCAGCTAGAAAGTTCCTGCTTCCTATGGGCTGCACTGTGGGCCCAGGAGGGGGCTGTGCATGCGCATGTCGGGCAGGGAGGATGCTGGGGACAAGGTGGGCTCTGAGAGAGAGGACCATCTAAGGATGCTGCCCTCCACTTCCCCGTCCCCTCCCCCTCTCTCTCCTCCTCTTCCTCCTCCTGCTTCCCAGGGGGCAGCACTGGCCCATAGTTGTGCCCTGAGGCTTTCTCTTGGTGTCTGTCCCATCCAGAATCCAAGTGCCGGGGGGACCCTGTCCGGGACTTTCACCAGGTCCAGAGGGGCTATGCCATCTGCCAGACCACGCGCCCGCTGTCGTGGGTGGAGTGCCGGGGCTCGTGCCCGGGCCAGGGCTGCTGCCAGGGCCTGCGGCTGAAGCGGAGGAAGTTCACCTTTGAGTGCAGCGACGGGACCTCCTTTGCTGAGGAGGTGGAGAAGCCCACCAAGTGTGGCTGTGCCCTCTGCGTATAGTGCCCAGCGCCCACGGGGAGGAGGGAGGGCTGGAGAGAAGTGTGGCCACAGGAGACCTGGGCTGGGGTCGGGCCATCACCAGGGTGGCTCCTGGGCGGCTGGACCCTCTTGGGTGGGCTGGGGCCCACCTCTGAGGGCCAGGCAGCTTTTCTCAAGCCGACCTCGAGCAGCTGGGGCTGAGTGGTGGGCGAGGCCTGGCTGCAGACCGCCCCCTCTGGAAGTGCCTTGCACAAATAGGCGCTTAATAAATATTTGTTGAATGAATATATGCGTGAGGTCAGGCCAAGAAGTGCAGAATGGTGACACTCCCTCCTTGCCTGCTACCTGGGTCTGAAGAAGGGACTGGCCCTTCCCAAACAAGCCTGTCCCTCTTGTCTGGGATCCATCATGGCCCCAGAGCCCCTTGCCCCCTGCAGATAACCCTGAAGGACTCTCAGCCTCCCAGCCTGGCTCTTGGCTCCTTCTGCTACAGTATCTGGAGGCAGTAGGCCAGGCTGCGGAGGGTAAGGGCCCCTCCTGCTGGCCAGGAAGGGACTGACCCTTGCCCCTGGGCTGACTGGAAGGCAGAGCACCGTCAGGAATGAGGCTGGGGGTGGAAGTGGGTCTTAGGACCAGATCTCTAAATCCTAAAGTTGTGGGACAACCACTGTAGCTTCAAGGAGGGGGCTTATGTGAAGGAAACTGTCACTGGGACATCTTGGGGCGGGGGACCCCACCAAAAAGGACAGGAGCATTCTTGGTTTCGTCAGAATAAATATCGCCCCCTCCAGGCACTAGCCAACAAAAGAGCATTGGTCCTGGGCTTCCCCAGCCATCAGCCTGCTGCTGGTGAGCCATTGGCAGGGGTCAGGGTACAGGGGGCTTGGGCTAGGCTACTTGGACAGGGAGGGGTATCCTCCCGAGGAGACCAGGTTCAGAGCCCTTCACGCTGCACATCAGCAGGGAACAGTGACACAGGCACCAGGAAACTGCTGGCTCTGTTGCTCTGGGCAAATTTCTTCCCTGTGGGCCTCAATCTCCTCAGCTCTCAAATGGGGAGGTGAGACTAAGGCAATTGAGATCCTCCCACCGTGGTTCCAGGAAGGAGGCTGCAGGATTTAGAAGATCCATTTTCATTAATCACATCAAGTATTTGTGTGCCTGGCCGGGGCTGGGTACCGTGGACACATGCCAACTAATCACAGTGCATCTCAGTGGTGGCCAGGATGCCGGGGAAGAGAGCTGAGCCGAGCAAGGGCTCCAACCACAGACACGGCCCCAGCTGGAGCTGCTCACCAGAGGCCTTTGCAAAGAAGGACTCAGTGTTTGAAGTCACTGAATATAGGACCGTGGGACTACAGATGCTTTTCTTCCATGCAGAATGAAAACGTAGGAAGATTTATCTTTGAGCCTAAATAACAAGTTGGCTGGAAGACAGGTCACACTCTCCTGTCCCAGATGTCTCCCCAAGACAATGTATCCCTGGGGAATCCTGTGGGCAAGGGGGTGAGCACACCCTTTTTCTGGCTCCTTCCCTCTGCAAACAGCAGGCAGGGTTGGGGAAGTGTGTGGGTGGGGTTTCGGTGGCATATTCCTGTGTCCTCAGTCACCATCGCAGTGGGGAGGGGCAGGAGTGAGGGCCTTGCTGCTGAGTGAGAGAGGCAGGAGCCTCCTGTGACTATAGGAGCCTGGCATGCTCCATTACACCAGGGCTCAGGCCAGCGAGTTCGAGTCCGGGGACCCCTGTCCTGCCCAACTAAGGAGGAGCCGGCATGGCTGGATCTGCCCCTTACAGGCACTGGGCTCTATTTTCTTGTAGCTTTGAGCAAGGCCACAGCGCCCCTCCCCGTGGACAGCAATGTGGGCCTCGCTGCAGAGCGTCCCTCTTATTGTTTCTGGGCGACCGATGGACTCTGGAGAAGAGCCAGATCAGGCTGGACAGGCAGGAAAGCTCAGGTGCAGCTAATGTGTTCCTTCCACGGAACAGAGTGTTCTCGAACCCACTAACCCTGAGAAACGAACCTTCCCTTGGCTACCTGACTGCCTCGGAGAAGCAGTTTTCCGGGCCTGAGGGGCCCTGACTGCAGGGGCGCCTTTACTTTGCAGAAAGGAGGAAGGACACCTGCAGCAGGTGCTGGCTGCCAGGACTCCCGCAGCGCCAGGGCCCTGGGGTAGGGAGGGCAGGGGATGCAGCACCCCACGAGCTTGCTGCTGGCCCTGCTGGCCGCTCCACAGTGCCCCACGCCCCAGCCCGGCTCCACACTCACCCACGGTCGAGCCGAAAGACGGAGCCACCGGGTGAGGGCAGCAGGGGCGGAGAGAGCCGTGCGCCCCAGGACCAAGTTTTCCTCAGCGTAGCTCTTCACCTGCCAGTCGTCGAGGACCTCGATCACCACTCATCTTGCCTGCTCACACTGGGCCCGCTGAGGCCCAGAGGCTACCACGAAGTCATCTGTCTGAGAAGTCGTCTCCACAGCTTGCATCCCTCTGGTGAAGGCCTTCAGTTCACTTCGATGTCGCCACCGGCTGTTCCCATTCCACACGCACTGAAGAGACACAGTGGGGGGAGTCCTGAGGCTGCCCCGGCAGCGCCACAGTGGCCCCGACTCCCCAGGGTGGTGTCTGGAGATGGAAAAGGCCGGACTCCGTCTCCTCTTTGCCTGCTGTTAGCCTAACCACGAAAGTATCTCTTTATACAGAATACTTAACAGATTCTAATATATATTTGTATTTCATTTTGTTATAGTATTTTTATATGTTAAAGTCAACATCCAGTGTCTCGTTTGAGTTTCAGCTGCTCTGTGGTTGTGACATTGTTTGGGGGTTTCTGTAGCCTTGTTTGGGTCACTCTTTTAGAGAGACTGGGTTAGAACAGGCCCGTGAGGGAGCCACACCTGCCCTTTGCCTAGAAGTGTTGTTTTAGAACATGTTGGATATTGTATGTCTTCCACGTGAACATGACATTGATTCACTCAGGTTTCTGTCTGGATCTTTTTCTGCACTGAGGGTGAGCCGGGGCTGTCGACACGCACCCTCCTGGGTTCGAGAGTCGCTGGGCCGCCCACCCACCAGCCAGACCACGATGGCTCCCAGATGCAGGATGTGTACGGCATCTGGCCTGGGAACCCTCTGGTCTTCCCGAGGTGGCCTAGGAGGTCTGCCCTCCTGCGGGAGGGCGGGGAGGGCTGGAAACGGCTGGGTCACGGCTCCCGGGGATCAGTGCGCCGGCGGAGCCTGGCCCTGCGCAGCTTATGGAGGTCTGGGAGGATGCTCATCTCATTTCCCTTGGAGTGTCTGCTGTTACACCCACGTTTTGTAAGTCTGTGTACAGAGCCACACCCATATTTAACCTGGCTCTGAAGGTTTCAGGGCGGCCAGGCAACCGATTAGAAAGCAGTGTGGCTTCTCAGACCGTCTTGCAAGGTTAACCTGCCTGTTGCCAGGACAGAAGTTCTTAGGGATCAGTGGAGAAAGGAGGCAAATATATCGCTATAAGGCTCTGCTACAGTCTCCAACTACGCACAAAATTGGACACAGAAGTTTTGTAAGATGACATACCAGTGAGGCCAGGCCCCGGCAATCAGGCTGGGCAAGGCCCCTGACACTGAGGGGACCCAGCTGGCTCTCCTCTGAGGACAGGACACACTAATTTCCCACTAGGAGACCAGGTTGTGGTGACAGTCATACAAGCTGCACCTGAACAGCACACAGTCGCCTTGAGAGGGGGCAGCAATAATAACTGCAGTGCCTTTCAAGCAATTTGGGATTTTGGAGGAAATGTAACCAACCAGGTACATGAGAGAAAATGGGTTAAAACAGGGCTATCAGCTCATGTCTGCAGTGGCCAGCAGGTTACCTAAGTGAGGTGGGCACATGTCCTTCTGGGCCATTGTTTGCATTGTCTCTTCTGACAGTGACAGGTAGAGAGACCCATTTCCTTGCTGTAAAAAGGGGGACACATGGTAACTGACAGGGGCAGTGGTGACCCTAAGGGCAAGTTTCCCAACAGACTGGGCTCCAGCTGGTTCTTACCATGCATTAATTTTGTCAGGTCTTTTTTTTAAAGAGAAGCCAGAAATCAATTTTTATGTAAACACAGTTTCAAAATCTTAAAAAACAAAACAAAACATGGGCTAAAAGCTAAACACATCTGTGGACCACCAGTGTGCAACCTCGGAGCTAAAGTAAAATAAGCGGCAAGTTTCACAGTTTAAAGGACACCCCGTCTAAGGGAACGGGCACTGCAGGGAGTGGGGGGGGGG